TTTCTCAATCTCATACTTTGTTGACGACATCTTCTCCTTCATGCTCACCGCACCAGTTTGTTGTGAATTGATGTCATCAAGAACAAAGCAAAATATGAGAAAACGATTTGAGTTTCTTGACAAACACAAGAAACCCTATTAGGTTTTACAAAAGAGGGGAAAGAATAGGAATTGGTTAAATATGTTTTTCTATTCACTTTTTCAATAAGGCTTCAAATATTACAAGTGAATACCAACAATTAATCTTTCTCAACAACCTGAGAGAACTAGTCTATTTATAGACTACAAAGTTAACTTATGATACAAGTTAACTTCACAATTGGGCTTAGAAGCAAGGACCAATTCGACATACTAACTTAAATTACAAATTAATATATTTCAACATTATGCTCGAACAGACTTCGACAACAGCATACCCAACTCTTGTCGAACCATGAAGCTACCCTTGTCAACACTAGAGTTCGATCCAAAAAACCATAATTATTGTTTAAGTTTATTACTTTATAACATTTTTATATGGTTGTTAAATACCAGGATTTGATGTTCCATTGAAGAAAAAGAAAGAGAGTTATTCTCGATTGAAGTGGAGTTTCTTGCATTTGTCAACCAATTGAAGAAAATATTTAGTATTACAAGCACGATTGGGTGGAGATTGTTGAAGTGTAAAGATTGAAGTATATCAAAGGTTGAAGATTGTGAACAAGGTAGTGATCAAGTAGGTAGTTGTAGTTATCATAGTTATATAGACAAAGAAGGTAGCAAAGATAACTTGGATTAAACAAATTTATATTAATATTTTTCGTTCTAACCCAAGCTGAACCAAATCCATATAATAAAAACTCAAATTCTTTATGGTTCATTATCAAATACTAGACTAGGTCCAAGTGAGGACAAAACAAGTGAACTAATATAAATCCTAATTCTCTCTCTCTCTCTCTCTCTCTCTCTCTCTCTCTCTCTCTCTCTCTCTCTTTATATATATATATATATATATATATATATATATATATATATATATATATATATATATATATATATATATATATATATATATATATATATATATATATATATATATATATATATATATATATATATATATATATATATATATATATATTTCTTGTTTATATTTGTATGTATTAGTCAAAGTTTATGGTTCATAGTGATTAATTTTGTTAAGCTTATGCCTGATTAGGTTAAGTTTTCCAAAGGATATATCTTTACTGATTAACCTGTTAAATTATGATTATAGATTATTCAAAGTTTGGTTAATTCAAAATATATCAAATTTCTTATTTGACTTATTGAAGGCTAATTAACATATTGCGTTCTCCTTATCTTTATCATATCTGTGTTTGTATCATTACATCCAAGTCTTTCATTTGTGTAAAACTATTTTCAAAAATCGATTTTCACCATTTTAGCTTCCTCAAAAGCAACTCTGGTTTTAATATTAATCGAAGTGATTCAGTCTATTTAATCCTTTTATATACCTTTAATAACAATATTCAACAAACACGAGGATTAAAGTTTCCATCGAATCCTTTTGAATTGTTTTTCTCACCCAGTTTTTTCAAGTTTCCATCAAATCCTTCCATTAAAATGTGTCAGCAGTTCGATTGTAGCCATGGAAGCAGGTCCTCAATCGCTCAAGGTACGTATGCAAGTGTGGTTTCGACGCTTCGTTGATGACGACATGGACCGATTCGAACCTAGGTCGCCATTTATATGGCTATGAGATGTATAAGATTCAAAGATACAAAAAATGCTCCCACTTTGCTTGGTTAGATGAGGAGATGGATCCTAGGGCAAAACAAATAATTTCTTCACTAGTAAAGAACTTGAATGAGGAGAAGGAGATGATTAACACGTACAAAGCCAACGAGGACGAATTGAAGTTGAAGGTGAAGATTCTGAAGAAAAAGTTGAAGATTACCTAGATTTTTTTATTTGTAGTGTTTATTGCATTTGTTGTAACAACAATGACGAAATATGTTATAGTTGATTAGGTTTGTATGTTACCTGATGGTGTAATGGTTGATGTATTGGTTACCTTGGATTCATGTGATGATGTTATGGTGTATTGAACATGATACAATTATGTGATATTATGAATATGATATAATTAATATTATTACGATAACTTTATCACAAATGTGAGTTGTATTTTTTGATGTGATATGGTGAACAATAATACAAGTTAAAAAATGAGATTAATTATAAAAGTAGGATAATATTTGTTAATTCTACAGAAAATGTAACAACGGTTATATACTATAACTGTTATAATAACTCGTGCGCTGTCCATAAAAAATTAAATATCAAAATGACGCAGCTGGAAATCGAACCTAGGACCATTATTTTTATCACAACAGTCTTTTGGAAAACCCGTTGTGATAGGGTGCGCGCTTTCCAGTTTATTACAACGAATATTGGGTCGTGATTGTAAGTATCATATATACAACCATACTCTACATAACAACACTTGGGCCTGCATGATTATATATCTTTCTGAACCGTTGTTAAATAGATTTTCCGTATTAGTGAAAGAGGTGTTTGGTGATCTCTGCAAAGCCAAACCCAAGGATGAGGGACTAGGGAAGAACCAAGTTTGTGATCTTAGTGCATTGTGAAGATGCAAATGAGGAGGAATCTTAGGGTTAAAAATTAGGGTATGACACAAAGCTTGCTTTAGGTAGAGATGATTAACCAAAAATTTCATCATATACAAACCTTCAAGTTTTATCCACACACCAACTGTAGTTTTCTCCTTTGAAACCTGCCGGAGAACCTTATCTCCAAGACTTTACACAATGGCACTATGGGATTTTTGGACTATCGATGTCTTCTCCTTCTTCGATTGGACAACATCTATCTTCTCTGATCCTTTCAACACTTCTAACAAATCCTATTGAATAAGAAGGACTTGCATCTTCAAGCGCCACAAACTAAAATCATTCACACTGGTGAATTTCTCAATCTCATACTTTGTTGACGACATCTTCTCCTCCACGCTTACCGCACTAGTTTGTTGTAAATTGATGTCGTCAAGAACGAACCAAAATATGAGAAAAAGATTTGAGTTTCTTGACAAACACAAGAAACCCTATTAGGTTTTACAAAAGATGGAGAAGAATAGGAATTGGTTAAATCTATTTTTCTATTCACTTTCTCAATAAGGGTTTAAAGATTACAAGTGAATATCAACAACTAACCTCTCTCAACAACCTGAGAGAACTAGTCTATTTATAAACTACTAAGCTAACTTATGATACAAGTTAACTTCACAATTGGTTTAGAAGTAAGGCCCAATTCGACATACTAACTTAAATTACAAGTTAATATATTTCGACATTATACTTGAACAGACTTCGACTACAACATAAACAACTCATGTCGAATCATGAAGATACCCTTGTCGACACTAGAGTTTGATCATAAAAACCACAATTTTTGTTTAAATTTATTATTTTATAGCATTTTTATATGGTTGTGGAATTCAAGAATTGATGTTCCATTGAAGAAAAAGATAGAGTTCTTTTCTATTGAAGTGAAGTTTCTTGCATCTGTCAACCAATTGAAAAAAATATTCAGTATTACAAGCACGATTGAGTGAAGATTGTTGAAGTGTAAAGATTGAAATATATCAAAGTTGAAGATTGTGAACAAGATAGTGATCAAGTTGGTAGTCGTAAGTATCAGAGTTATATAGACAAGGATTAATAAAAAGGTAGCAAAGATAACTTGGATTGAACAAATTTATATTAATTATTTTTCGTAACCCAAGCTAAACCAAGTTCATATAATAAAGGCTCAAATTTTTTTATGGTTCATTATCAAATACTAGACTAGATGCAAGTGTGAGGATAAAACAAGTGAACCAATATAAATTCTAATTCTCTCTTCTCTCTTTCTTTCTTTAGAATTCTTGTTTATATTTGTATGTATAGCCTTCTTGCTTTGTTTAGAATTGTATGACTCTAGGTTTTCTTGCTTTCATAGTGATTAATTTTGTTAAGCTTATGCCTGATTAGGTTGAGTTTTTCAAAGGATACCTTTGTTGATTAACCTGTTAAATTATGATTATAAGTTATTTAAAGTTTGATTAATTCAAAATATATCAAATTTCTTATTTGACTTATTGAAGGCCAATTAACATATTGCGCTCTCTTTATCTTTATCTTATCTGTGTTTGTATAATTACATCCAAGTCATTCATTTGTGTAAAATTATTTTCAAAAATCGATTTTCACCATTTTAACTTCCTCAAAAGCAACTCTGATTTTAATATTAATCGAAGTGATTTAGTCTATTTAATCCTTTTATAGACCTTTAACAACAATATTCAACAAACATGAGCCACGTTCAGAGGGCTGATCAAGTTAGGATTGATCTTATGTAAAAGCTTAAATCAAGAGACAAATTTCTCATATAGAAGCTCCTAACGAGTAATTCCCTCATAAATCTCTATTGATAAATAAAAAATATATTTGGATTTCTTGAATCAGTCAATGTATTTTTCAAAAGTTGTAGATCGGGACCTGAAAGGTTTAAGGAGTTTATATTAAAAAAAAGTATGGGCCATGTAGGGTTAAGTCTTTATTCATTGGTGAGTATGATAACGCATGGCGGTATCTATCCAGCACTTCACTCGTGTGCGCTATCTATCAATGGCGGCTTGGCCCTCTACCTCGAGTAGTATACTATCATCATTAATGGCGTGTTCATGAATTATGACTCTCTTTTTCTCAATTAATTAACTTCAACTTTAAGTGCGGTGGGGGTTGTCTTGTCATCCCACAAGGGTGTTGAATTAATATCAAAGAATGTGGGAGACAAACCACAAACATTTCAATGCCACCAAAACGTCTTTATTTCCTCATTGTAGGGTCACACCTTCCTCTCTTCGCTATATTTATACCCTCCCTCTTCCCTCACCTCTTCACCACCACACTTCCTCTTCCTTCTTCATAACAACACTTAGATTATAAACTAATATGGCTGATTCAGGTGGTTCTTCCAGGAGAATGTGGTGCTCTATACCAGAACGGTTTCAGCTTCATGGCGCCATGCTGGTCCTCCAAGTTGGTTATGCTGGTTTCCATGTCGTCTCTAGAGCTGCCCTTAACATGGGAATTAGCAAACTTGTTTTCCCAGTTTACCGAAACCTTCTCGCTTTTCTTCTCCTTGTTCCATTTGCATACTTCTTGGAAAAGTAATAATACTACACAAACATAACTTTATAATCGGTTAATAACTTCAATACATGACATAATCAATGGTTGCATTGTTTATTTTTTTGTCCAGGAAGGAAAGGCCAGCTATTAATTTCAACTTTCTTTTACACTTCTTTCTTCTCGCCCTTGTCGGGTATGCACCATACTTATACCGCAAACCTTTTGTATTAGGGTTACAACAATTTTAAAAACTGTTTTGTTAAGTATATAATTAATTTAAAAAAATTGTATTACTCAGTTTTACAGCCAACCAAGGTTTCTACTTGCTTGGCTTGGACAATACATCGCCGACTTTTGCATCAGCTATACAAAACTCAGTTCCAGCCATTACATTTCTCATGGCGGTTGTACTCAGGTAATTGAATTGAATAATTAAGTCCTTAAAGTTACATCAAATAATGAAAAAAGTTTATATAAAATTTTTTTTAATGCAATTTTCAGAATAGAGCAAGTGAGGTTGAACAGAAAAGATGGAATAGGAAAAGTTGTAGGAACATTGTTCTGTGTTGCAGGTGCATCAGTGATTACACTTTACAAAGGTCCAACAATATACAGTCCAGTTCCGTCTCTAAACAACAACAACACCATACAAGAGAGTTTGTTTGAGTCATTGGGTGATGCAAAAGGAAAAAACTGGACCCTTGGATGTTTGTACCTTATAGGACATTGTTTGTCTTGGTCTGGTTGGCTGGTGTTACAGGCACCTGTCCTCAAGAAGTATCCAGCTCGTCTCTCTGTCACTTCCTATACATGTTTCTTTGGACTTATCCAATTCCTCATTATTGCTTTGATCTTTGAGAGAAATTCTCAGGCTTGGATTTTCACCTCTGGTGCTGAAGTTTTTACTATTCTCTACGGGGTTAGTACTACAATCTTCAATCTATAATTATTTATCTCATAAACCCAAATAATAAAGAATTTCTTTCGATAAAGATGTACTATGTGCATGCTTTTGAGACATGTTGTATGTTGTGAAATTCGTTCAGCAATCATGTTGTAGATATAATGGTAGGTGTCTAGTGTGTGTGCGTGCGCGTGTGCTGTTGGTAATAATATATATATTATTTTTAATATTACAGGGAGTGGTAGCATCAGGAATTGCATTCGCTGTACAGATATGGTGCATTGACAAAGGAGGACCTGTTTTCGTTGCAGTATATCAACCTGTTCAAACTCTTATTGTTGCTATTATGGCTTCTCTTGCTTTAGGCGAAGAATTCTACTTAGGAGGGTTCGTTCGTCCTATCTATCTTACCTTTTTATATCTTATTCATGAAATCATATGGGCGTCAGATATCGATATGTCTCAGACATCTATCAGATATGGGCATCAGATATCGATGTGTCTCAGACATCTATCAGATTGTTTGATGACATATAATAATAATAATACATGCATACATAACTATTAATAATATATAGTCCGAAATGACGATTTAACCGATTAATTATCAACGTTATGAAAACGACAAATGAATTCTATTAAAACAAGTGAACTAGAGGTAAGGTAGAGGTAAGGTGTTGTTTGGTTGGTACCTTTTAGGTGAGAACTGACTCAACTAAGAAAGGCTAGTCACTAATATATATATTTTTAAAACATGTCTTTAATGCAACTTTTTACCTGTGAAATTAGAATGAACAATTTTTTAAATGATTCCACGTTCCATAGGGTCAAAAAAAGCTTAAAGAATCAGCTTTTATCTTCTTTTTCTTCTTCTTTCTTTATACTTTTGATACAAAAGCAAATTTGTGATTTTATAGGATCATTGGAGCAGCATTGATCATTGTGGGGTTGTACCTAGTTTTGTGGGGTAAGAATGAAGAAAAGAAGTTTGCAAGGGAGCTAGCAGCAACAAATTCGACTCCGGAGCATAGCGGCATTATCAGGGTCTCAAGCCATCATGCAAAAGCATCACTCAATCAACCTCTTCTTCCTTCATCAACGGAAAATGTTTGATGAAGGAAACTTAAAGTTGAAGATGGCTAAGCATTTTCTAGGGAGAAGAAAAAAAAGAATGAATGATGAAAATGATAGCAGCTGTTATACATTACTACTACTTTATGTCAGGAAGCTTTGTGTGTGTACGAATGGTTTGCTTTTAGTTAATTCAAAGTGCTTTCTTGCTGGGATAATATGTAGTGTCAAGTTTTTTTTTATGGAAATGATTGCAATGGAAGAAATGTGTGGCCATTTGAATTTGAGCTTAGAGCATGAAATCTCATTCTATCTTTATGTTAATTAAGGATTTGATTTTTTAAAAAGAAGGTTAAAATGCTCTTTAATCAATCAATCTGTTTTGTTTAATTAAAGTTTATTAGAATAGAGAGAATGATAGTTTTAATTTGCAACACTTAAAACTTAACTGTTTTTTCTTTACTTTCAAACCGGTTACAAAAGTGTTATTAGAAGATAATATCGGTCATTTGCCATTGTTCCTACACAATAAATATAAAGTGATTTGTGTAAAAAAAATAAATGGATATTTGCATAAAAGTTGAGCTTTTACATGGACCAACGTTGGTTAGTTGAAGAATGATTCTTCAAGTGTCAAGTTGGATAATTGAGTGATGGTAACAATTTTATTGATTTTTCAACATAAAAGAAAAATATAAATAAGAGGCATATTGTGGGATTTGGTGGAACCTATTTTAATGTTTTGGATGAATTGCATGAATATTTGAAAAATGTAATAGAGTTATTTAAAAAAAATTATAATATAATATAAAAAATTAAGTGGATCCCATTTAAAAAATTTAAGTGGGAATGATGGACGTAGATGTTCTTATAGTGTTAGATGAAAGATCTCATATAACATGTTGTAACTACCGACAATAATAAGGTTCATATATATGGTCGTTTATGCACTAATATATGGTCGTTTATGCACTAATATGCTAAGGGACATGTGATAGGTACATATAGTCACTTTAATCTTGTGAAACACCTTCAGCTTATTCACGAGGTATAAAACATTTGAGAAAGATAAAGGTTTAGTGAGTATATTTGTCCATTAATCTCTTTCTAGAAAATGAATTATAGAGAGTTGATTATGAGTGCAATTTCTCTTAAATATATTTTGTATAATGTCAAAATTAGATATTTTACCTCTCGGTGTGTGTTGGACCTTATAGTCTTTATCTAGAAGTGCATCATCATCATAGAACATGTAAAATTAGATTACATATGCTATCACATGTCAAAAATATGATTTTTTTTTCATAAAAATTCATGCATGGATCGATACATCTTTTGTATTGTCGATACACACTTAGTTGATTTTCAAAGAATTTAAATATGCCTCTAATGTATCGATACATAGGAGGAATTGGTCGATACATCCTACAAATGGGTTGACTCGTTCTTGGTTGGAGTCGACTCCATTTGAAAGGTGTTCTCAAGGATTTGCCAATGCTTTCAATGTATTAATACATTGAAGGAATGAGTCGATACGTTAAGTCAATGGGTTGACTCTCCGGTGTTTGGAGTCGACTCATCCTAAAACACTTTTTACAAATTCGCTACCGCCTTCAATGTATTAACTATATTTGGTCTCGTATTGACTCATTCAGTTGATATATTGACTCATTCCAATTTAGAGTCAATACATTTTATACCAAATTTTAAAATGTGCATTTTGGGCTAAAATTTTATTTTGCTCTATTCTTTTCTACACACACACATACATACAAATACTCATTCATGCATCATTTCTAAGCATTGAAACCTGAAAGTTACAAATAATTCTTATTACTTTCAACTTTTTATTGACATAAGTTATGATTTTATGTATGATCATTTCAACCACGGGCGTGCGACCGTGATCCTATCCAAGTAGCACGCTACCTACCACAACGGTTACACTACGCCATATAATACAAAAGACAACGCTTTTTTTGGCCTTTAGCAGCACTTAAAGCGGCGCTACTGTAGGTAAAGACAACACTTTTTTTTAAAATGCAAAAGCGCTGCCTTAGGTCCTCTTTAGGTAGCGGTTATGTTTAAAAGCGCTCTCTAATGTCACCTTTAGGTCGTGCTTTTCATTTTTCATGAAATGCACTTTCTTTTGTCCCCCTTTAGGAAGCGTTTTTAAAAGCGTTGTCTAATGTATCTTTTCTTTCTATTTTAGGCAACGATTTTTCATGAAAAGGGCTTTCTTTTGTCCCGTGTTAAGCAGCACTTTCAAAAGCGATGTCCAATGTATCTTTTCTTTCTATTTTAGGCAGCGCTTTCTTTAAAGTCTTTCTTTTGTCCACTTTAGGCAGCGCTTTTTTTACAAAGTGCTTTCTTTTCTCCACGTAAATAGTGCTTTTTAAAAGCACTTTTTTAAAAAGCACTTTTTTAAAAAGCACATTTTTGGGAAGCGTTTTTTTGTTATAAGCGCTGTCTATTGTGCGCTTTTTTAGGAAGCATTTTTTGTTATAAGCATTGGCATAAGTCTTATTTTTTAATTATAAAATGGCAGCACAAACCATTATAATTCAAACTTTTATCAAAACTTATCACAAATATTTTTTATTCAACGCGTAAGCCTTGTATACCGTTATAATTTAACATATATATACCATTATAATTCAACACATAACCTTATAACCATTATAATTCAACACATAAACCTTATAACCATTATAATTCAACACAAACCTCATACACCAAGAAAACATCCATAATTCTAATAACAACATATCCACTTCCAAAATATTTAAATTCTAAAAATTCACCAAACATAATTACAAATTCCATCAATTCTTAATTCACAACAATTTTCAGAACTATACAACAACTTCCAAAACTATACAACAACTACCAAAACTATTCCTATCCAGTACAGAACATCACAACAACAAAAACCACTAAGGACCATAAACTTCACACAAAAGAAAGAAAGACAATATACCTTATATAATTCTCATCTCAATAATGTATTGACATCATTCCTCCATAATTTCTTTCAGTTTATCTTTCGAGTAAGTAGAAAATTTGAATTCATCAAAGTACTACATAATATAACATAATATACATGATTTAGTTAAAACTAATTAATTAAATGAAATATTAGTTAAATATTAAAATAAATCCTAACTTATAAATCCATACCGTGTTTGAAATCTCTATTTGATCCGAATGAATAATTTATGTCATAAACCTCGATATGAAATAACCGTAATCTATACCATTACGCTGACGAGGACACTACACATAGAAAGAAAATACGAATATATATCGGGATATATAGTTTAACTTGTTTTATCAAGTAGCATCACTATTATAATCAAAATTGTAAAAATGTACCTGCACTCTGATCCATGTAATGTTGTTTGCTTTACTCTTTGATACTCGAGTTTGTCTTTGTGATCGAAATATTTGTATAGGTCTAACATAGTATAAACGAATATTTAGAACAATCTCACATAAATAAACAAATACACACACGAATATTTAGAACAATCTCATCACTTATGTATCAACCATCTTCTTCATATTTGGGTATTTTTTTTATCACCATCTAATGAATTCAGATAATATACTATTTCTTTTATTGAATTAATCGCAACCAACAACCAGTGTCCACTATAAAATAAAACAAAAATTTAGATGAAATTTTTTTACACAACGTCAAAAAACGAAAACTTATAATAAATGAAGTTGGAATGAAAATCTAATCCATGGTCAGTATTATATGGTAAAAGATACATCTTTTTTGTATCTCTGTTGGCCATAAATACATCGACTAAATGATCTTTGACTGCATTTGGACTTTAATCGATTAACCGTGCGTTGATACAAATGGGAGATAAGAAAGAGAACCTTTCTGTCAATTGACACGGGTGCATCAATTTGTCATACAAGAACGTTAAATAAAAAGATAATCAACATTAGAATATTCATTGAAATAAGTAAATAAATTGTTCAACTAATTAAATGAAATTGATCAGAGTACCCGATGTATGAATTCATAACACTGATGCCATATTCAGAATGTTGAAAAATCTGATCCAAATTCTCTTTAGCAATTGTTTCGGTATAAGAAAACCCAAAAATACCTTCCTCCATAGGTATTTCACGAATACCACCTTCCATCACATATGTTGTTCCTACATATATTTCAAGGCACAACCTAAATCGAGAAATAGATGTTTTTTTAGACTCGATCTTCGCAAGGTCCTTTTTTTTGTTGAACATGTTGTTAAATTCAGGCTTCTTATTCTTGCTGACTTGTTGCAACTCTTGAGCATGAATCTAAAAATCATATAAGTTAGGTAATGTATAAGATCATGAAGCTTTTGAATTTGGAGGATAGAATTAACATTTTCTATGCATATATATATATATATATATATATATATATATATATATATATATATATATATATATATATATATATATATATATATATATATATATATATATATATATATATATATATATATATATATATATATATATATCAATGTATCTCTTTTTTTTATCCAACTGACTCGGTGTGCCGCACAATCCCCTTATCTTTTGATTTAGATTTTGTAGGAGTCTAACATTACCATGTAAATAAAATGTACCTAAATGTAAGAATGACTTACATGGCTCGTAAAACATTTGAATACTACAAGATTCATAATGGTTTTTAACATGCCTCATCATCTATGAAAATGAGGTTTGACAACCATGCAACATACAATCCTATTGCGTCTATGTTAGCTTACAAATTCGACGCCCACATTAAATTAAGGTGTTTGGGTGAAATATTAAATTCTCGAAGTAATATGGAAGAGCCTTCAAGTGGGTCTTGACCATAAATGAAATCGAAGGCATTCACATGAGGAAGGAAGACTTTTGGGACTTAGAAAATATTTCTAAGATTAGATAGGTCACCTTCAACCGAGAATGTTGTCCAAATACTAATAGAATTTGAAATTCAAATAAGGGAGGGAGTAGTTATGATTTCTCATTTCTGAACGAGA